GTGGGGGAGGGGAGGGGGGGGAGGGGTGGAAATATTTAAGGACTGCTGTTTAAAGCAACGGTCATCTATGTCATGTGTATAACAAGTATCAACTTGCTCTACATTTAATTCTTATTCTGACAATTGAACAAGAAAGAAAACAACTTATTGAGGAGACTCAGATCAGGTGATAATACAAGAACAAGACTTCAAGAACAGTGCATTCATACTCAACGAAAAAAATGGGGAGTTTTAGAGGGAATTGAAAACAGATCAGAGGACAGATTCTACAACCAAAAAAAATGTCTGACAATTCTATAAAGGAGGATAATGACCACCTCTTCGTATATTTACTATATTCTTTGATCGAATTAACGGAGAAATCGAGATTAAATGTCATTGGAAAGTAAGGACAGACAATAGAAACTGCCCATGAAGAAAGAAAGAACAGTATAATTTGTTTATAAAAATAGTAGTTTTTGTTAAGGAGGAAAGAAACGGCGAAAGAGGAACAACCAAAGATTCAAGAATACAAAGAAACTACCATTTTCCTATCGCGTCCACACGCACCTCAGGGTGTCAACTGTTTTTTTTGACCAATGCAAAGCGAAGGCGACGGAAGGAATCCGAAATTTGGAAATCGAAATAAGATAAAGTGAAAAAGACAATGGTTTTTAAATAATATTGAGGCGCAGAGATGTTGATAAAATTCAATTAATTCCTCAGCGATAATGAACGGGAAGATTTTGATTAATAAAGTTGATAAGATTCGAACTAGGTTGATGAGGCTCTAATTGGCACATCACGTAGACAGCATGTTCAGTCATTGTGAATCGTGTCTTCTTCACAACTATTGCAAAGATTCTATTTATAAAGGAAATTAGGGTTAAAATGTTGCTGATCATTCACTAAATGCTCATATATTATCTATTCCCTTAAAGCACTCACTGAGAATCTGCCACCCCGCGATTCTTCAATTCGATGGCATTGAAACTGTAATAAATTAATAAGCATTAATTTTAGTTCTCAATAGTTGATATGAGGACTATGACACTTAAACGTACACTCGTTCATCAGGATCGTAGGAGCAATAGAGAATCTTGTTTGCTGGAATAGATTTCTTTGTAAATCTTGTACTATTCTTATCGACAATTGTTATGCCCTTGCCAACTGAACACATCACGGTTGCTTCGCATTTCTTCTTTAATCCTTTCAATGGATTATTTGCTTGAGATAAAACCTGTTCCACAGCTCGTTTTACAGCTGATTCGCCTTGCAGAGGGAAAACGTCAACGCTTCCCAAATACAGAACATCAATAACTGAAAACGTATTTTATCACATAATTGGCTTGGGTTATATGACAAATAGTAAGTGAATATCTTACAGAAATCAGTTTCAGAAGTACTATATCGGCCTACTGAAGGACTGTTGGTTGCGCCTGCCAAGTAGTTGCTAGATAAGGCGCCCCTCAAAGGCATTTTGAGAAGTACTGGCAAGGCACCTTGATGAATTGTGTGGTCGTGGACAAAAGCTGACAACGAAGGAAAGATAGGTTCACTCTCGAATCCGCGTAAATGTATCGCGTCTCCGCCCTTCACACGATTCAGCAGAAAAGTTCGCACTGGTTCACTGTCATCTGCAAAAGTGGAGACTTGAAATAAGTTATACTGATTTTATTTTAGTTAGAAATTATAAGAGCATAGCTTATACAACCCACCTGCAGATATTGGTACCCGTACAACCAGTGCATAACAATCTGGTTGTGACTTGCTTGTTCGAATAATGAAACGACCTGGCTCCTTGTTTATCAGCATCTGTGTAGCTTCTTGGCGAGTTGCATTTGGTCGGAACCACTGAAAAGACGTGTCGGTTGAGAGCGTGTGTCTGCTGTCAATGGTATCCAATGCCACATGATTACTTTGCCCATGACCTGCGGCATAACTGCCCCCGTGAAGACTCCCCGTCGATGATCCCAGGCCTTAAAATTGCGGATATGATAGAAATAAGATGAAGAAAGCAGAATGAACAGAAGACATCAGTCATGAAATTCACATACCATTAAAATTACTCCAATGAGATTCATTTTGAATGGTCCGCGACCGATGCTCTGAAACGACTCTACCACCATGTTGACGTAAAGGTACCCTGTTGATTAAAACAAAAGGTAAAATGCCAAAATGAGCATTACTAACATAGTTTTGCTTAGAATCGTGATTATTTTTGAGTCTATTTTCACTTTAATAGTCTGACATATCTTCATAAAATTTCCTACTAACATTTCTTGTACTTGTAGCGTTTGTTCATCTTTTCAACTAATTTTCTTCATTAAAAATTATTATAATAATTAACTCATTTACTTGGTGATGATATTTGAGCTGAAAGACCCTGATCCACCATTTTGAGATCTCAAATAACGGCAATTTTATTTCCAATATAAGTACAACTCTCAAACGCAATTATAAGCTTTTGAAAGCGAGCTCATACTTCGCACTTTCATTCAAAAGGGCGACCAAATGTTATAAAATTAAATCAAACTTAGTTGAACCTCATCAATTTCATAATATTTGTGGAAATTATTTCAAGTTATTGTTCCATTTTGCCCAAATTCCATTTGGAGAGCGATTTTCCACTCCCATCGTAGACGAGGCTTACTGTCGTGAGGACGGATTGGTAAGAAAAAAAGTAGGTGCACATAGATTTTGAATCTGTATGTAAACTACTAAATTATAAGTTTTTATTTAGGCATTAAAGGGCATATTCCAAATTTACCACTTTTATTGGGGCAAAGCTTATCATGAAAGAGGCTCTCATCTTTGTTTCTATAATTCATTTTTATACTATGGATTCCATTCATGTTTAATTTTCATTAAAGTAAATTTTAAATTAACCGTTAGCAGTACCCATGCATTCGCTATTTGTTAAAGATTTCCTGAAAATGACTATTTTTGGAGAAAGGTAGTTTCCACTGGTTTAATCTAATTATAAAATTCATGTAAATGTTTGTTCGTCTTTTGACTATATTAAATGTAAGCTTCCTTGGTTGTGGAGGTCAACAATAAATGCAATTTTTAGTTTGTGGGACACGCCATCGCATGCCTGCACGCCAGGATTGGGAGGTGCGACCGT